GCCCGCTGCAGCTGCGACACCTGGCGGGGAGGCCAGAGAGGGCGCCCCAGCTGGACCCGAGCGCGGGGAAGGAGGGGACGAAGGGGTCCGGACGCAGCAGGAGCCAGAACACCCTCCCGAGGGCCTGCTGCCTTTCCCAGGCCTTGTCCCGCCACCCCACCCTGAAGCCTCCGTCCTCTGCACGGCTCATGCATTTCTTGGGTCTGGTATTTACTCTCTGCTCTAGCCTCCTCAGCTAAAATACAGAACACACTGCCCTTCTGGGTCAGCGGGGGACGTCCGGAGCCCCCTGGGCACCCGCAGCCTACACGCATTCTCCGGAGCAAGTTGTCTGCGTAACTTATCACACCTAACGCGATGCAAATGCTAGCAATTTTCTTCCACAAATACTTTCCATCTGTAGGTGATAAATCCTCAGCTGCAGAAACCAAGGATACCACAGGCTAACTGTATGTGGTCTGTTCCCACCTCTTCGGCCTCCATCTATATATATTCCTTACACACACATACACATATTCTTTACACATAAAACACAAGGAATTCATCTGGCTTGTTCACTGGTGTAACCTCAATGGCTCATAGTAGCACAGTGGGATTTGAATAAAGAAACCAGAGTCCCACCTTACCCAGGACCCCCATGCCGTCCCCCAGCAGGCTCTGTACTCCACAGTGGGTGGGGGTCTCACCCCGTGCAGGGCACAGCCCCCCCAGGCTCGTCCTTCTACCTGGGCTTGCAGTCGGGCCTTCTGGCTTTGCCAGTCCTCCTGTAGACACTGGGTCTCAGGTGCCTTCTCCGTGGGTGAAGAGCCCAGCGGGAGTTGTGGGTCACGTTCCTCCTTGAGGGGCACTTCGGTCCTTTGAAGATACAGAGATCCCGGTCACCAGAGGTCCTGGGGCTAAGTACACCATTGCCACCTGATAGCATCTCAGCCATTCTGCCGGGAGGAGGGAGCTCAAGCATGGTTAGTGGGGTGAGGTGCATCGTAGCAGCCCAACACACAAGCTCAGGACCGCAGGGACTACCAGACACTTTGTTACTGAGTGCTTAATGAAAGAGAGCTGGACATTGCGTCTGTGGTATTTTATTGAAGCAGTCCGACTGGTCCGAGGACTTGCTCTGGCCTGTGGAATGTGGGTGTCTGTGAGCGCACTTCTGAGCGTAGGGAGCTGTAAGAGGCATGGCATGTTTCCATCAGTGCTGAGCTCCTCCTCTGTGATGACAACAACATGCCCCGGTAGAGGCCGGTCCCTCAGCCTGGCTCCCAGCAGAGGAAGACACAGGGAAAAAACGTGAGCTCTAGTTTGTGGCAGTGCAGTCACCCCTGATCTTCGGCTGGGAGCCAAGTACACCAAAGCCCAGCACAGCCTGGCCAAGCTGACCATGAGGCAGCTCATCCAGGAGCTGAAAATCACTAATATTTGAAGGATGCTTGTTACAGCAGCAACACTGACTAATATCAGCGACAAAGATGGAGATTTCCACTGGATGACAAAGCTCCCATATGTGCCCTAGCCAGAGAACCAGAAGTTTGGGACCAGTCCAGATTCTTGGCAGAATTATTAACCTCTTTAAACTTCAGGTTCTTAAACTATCAAGTGAGCTCCTTGGGTTGGGGTAACCATTACCTAAGCTCATGACAAGTCCATAGCAGTGCAGACAGTGTACAAGATGTGTCTGTTTCCTACCTAAGCATGATGCAAAGGGCAGTGATAAATATTGGAGACATGAATGAATGAATGCATCCTTCAAAATCTGAGCCCTCTGGAAAGCTGCCACTGTACCTTTCTTCATCATTGCTGGTTCCTTCTTTAGCTGCTAACGTGTGTTGATGGTTCTCTCTGGGCAGTGTCTGAGAAGGCTCTTCCAGTTTGGAGTGTGAATCCTAAAGCAAGCACAATGGCAGCATGAGATCAAGAACAGTTCCCTCCTCCCACCTTGCTTCTTCAAACCAGAGAGCAGAGGAGGAGAAAGATCCCCAGACCACAGTCTGGGTTCTGTGATGGGACCTGTGAGGACGAGGTGCCTGGTTGGTGACCAGTGTCAGCTCTTGGGCTTGTATTCTGATTTTCAGGCTGCAAAGCAATTCACACAGCTGGGGAAAAAAGCCTGGAGAGATTATGTGACTTGCCCAGGGCCCCACCATCAGTGTGGAGTACAAGTGGGCTGTGCAATCAAGCAGTCTTACCTTGGGGTTTGAACTCAACTCTCTCACGACGCAGTCCTGGTACAACCCGCAGAAAGTGGCCCTGCTTGAGCCCGACTTATCACGGGCTTGGGTAAGGGTTAGAGATCAGCACTGGGAGAGTGGGAGCGGCTGTGATGGTGATGGCGATGGCGATGGCGATGGCGATGGTGATACCATTGTACAGGGTGTAGTGTGCGCCATCTCAGTACATAGGGCCAGAAAGCACGGAACTTGCCCAGTGACCAGCAGCGCTGAGAAGGGGGATGTGGGAGGATAACACGCAGATGACTAAGTCCAGTTCAACGGATGTGCCTCATTGTCATTGCTTCTTTTCCACAGAGTCACAAAGTTGCAAAAGACTCTTTTGAATTTTGATTTTTCCACTTGTTATGGTAACCACAGAAAACAGCATGACAAGACAAGCTGGAAACAGATTTGCTTGTTGTCAAAGATGAAATAAAGACTAATTACAGCCTTGGGCAGGAAGGCGGAAGAGCTGAAATGCAAGGTGTACTCCGGGGATCCTATTCCCGCTTTTGCGCCTTTCCGTGCACTGTGACGTCTACAGCAGGACACAATGTTAAGGGAAGGGATGACGTCTAGGTTGCCAAGCACAAGGGTCAGTTCTCCATCCTCAAGTAACCAGTCCTCTCAGCAGAGCCGGAACTACCTGGCCCCTCCCTCCTCCACGCAGCCTGCTCTCCTGGG